ATTTTCTGGTTACATTACTAGACTGTGACATATTCTCTGGTTACATTACTAGACTGTGACATATTATCTGGTTACATTACTAGACTGTGACATATTCTCTGGTTACATTACTAGACTGTGACATATTATCTGGTTACATTACTAGACTGTGACATATTCTCTGGTGACATTACTAGACTGTGACATATTATCTGGTTACATTACTAGACTGTGACATATTCTCTGGTTACATTACTAGACTGTGACATATTCTCTGATTACATTATTAGACTGTGACATATTATCTGGTTACATTACTAGACTGTGACATATTCTCTGGTTACATTACTAGACAGTGACACATTCTCTGGTTACATTACTAGACTGTGACATATTCTCTGGTTACATGACTAGACTGTGACATATTATCTGGTTATATTACTAGACTGTGACATATTATCTAGTTACATTACTAGACTGTAACATATTCTCTGGTTACATTACTAGACAGTGACACATTCTCTGGTTACATTACTAGACAGTGACACATTCTCTGGTTACATGACTAGATTGTGACATATTATCTGGTTATATTACTAGACAGTGACACATTATCTAGTTACATTACTAGACTGTGACATGTTATCTGGTTTTATTACTAGACTGTCACTGTGACATATTATCTGGTTGCGTTATTACGCTGTCACATGTTCTATACTGATTTTCGTGTCTAACATTTCTTACTATGTAACTCTTATAAGTATTTCAAACGTGTTCGTGAGGAAACTTCTCGTAAAACAATTGTCATTTCCTTAAAACAAACCATAGAGTAATATGTAAACTTTAATAAGCGGGTGAAATTTGAAATTCTTTAATATGAAAGAAATTGCAATTATTTTTTCTTAATTGTTTTTTAATATGATTAAAATATGCCCTAGTTCTTTAGGGTGAATAACTAAAATGGTAAACTACGTACTTGTTCGAGTTCTTTAACTTTTCAACTTCTTGCTCAAAGTGCGACAACAGTTCATCCGAAATGATGGTCACTCCACACACTGGACAGCATGTCGTTTGACCGTCTATCACTCTCTTCTGGTTTAGCTCTATAAAATAAGTTTACAATATGTGCCATTTATTCCTCCTTCTTGTTAGTTCTAACGCTTCACAAATTTCTTGTAGTCTCAGAAACTAAACCTCATGAGACGTCACAAAGTGCAATAATACATCATAGTTAGCCAACTGAATATCCATAATGACGACGTTAGACGTGGATTTCTTTAGCACTAATACCATTCCGTTAACGTAACTCTGTTATCAGTATTTATTTTTAATAAGTGATATTTGTTCTTGTGTACAGATGGTTTAGACCTTTCAACTATAAGATCAAAGTAGAAGCAATTTTCTTATAACTTATAACTTTTAAAAATCCCTTTCGAATAAAGAAACCCCAAATTAATGTCCATATGAAACTGGGTAGATTCTGGAGAGCTGTTTATGGACCTTGCACAACTAGACGAACAAGAATTAAATGTGTTCGAGGCCTAGTGTAATTACCAAATGGTGACTGAAGAAAGGGTGAATATTTATCACCCACACTTTGATTTCCGTTCCAGTTGCCAGTTACTCTGTAGACTGCAGCACGTAAGTTACTGTGTGATTTACTACACCGCAGATGCGATGTGATGTGAACTACATTATAACTAATTGTCATGACTCTCCGAGTTTTTGTAAATTGTTAAATGATCCAAAGGAAGGGTTGAGAAAAAGCAACCCTTGAAACAACTGCAAACAGGCGTGTTGCTTTCCTAGTGCTGTGTACAGAACCAGGCAGGCAGTGGTATAATTAATACCTTCAGAGGACACTTAATGAATGATATAATGCTTCTAAAGTGGAGATGATGCATCAGTGAACAGTAATTAATGAGACAGAGAGGACTCTGTAGCGAAGCCACAACAAAGTTTGTCTATTATGACATTATTTATGGAGAACAGATTGGAGCACGGCGCTCTACACTGAGACCATTTGGCACATGTGGTGTTGAACATGCAAATTCATCTTCAGCACCGCGAGCGTCCCATTATTCAATCTGACGACCACAAAAAGTCACTCATATTTGATATGGTTGAAAATACTGTCGGTTTTACGCCATGTCTAGTCAACTACCGTTAACCAGTGATGCTCCCTGATAGATTTAACTATTTAAACATTTCACAGCGTAAGCAAAGCGTCTTTCATTAAAGAGAGCCGACTCGTAGAAAGCTACAACCTGAACACTGTCCATCATTCAGTAAAGGTGACATGATTGCTATCTATAGGTTTACAAAATGTATAATAATATGACTAAACAAACCCACACTTAATACCCGCAAAGTTCAGGGGTCACAAACACAATGGTTTCAGTGAAATGTTGACACCAACCGTATTCTGTCAGAGTGACATCACGTATAGAGAAAACAGTGTGAGTTTGGACTTTTGCTTCGTTGATAAGTCTAGCCTAGACTTCCTTCAGTAACCATTTTCATATATTAGCGTTTAGCAGGAAACGCTGTCATTAGGCAGCAAATAAATGACCACACTGAGCCTTAATCATAAATTAGGCTTAAACAATAAAATACAGTATTTTTTGTTGTTGTCATTTCTCGACATTTCGTTTGGTTTGTTTTAAACTTCGCGCAAAGCTACACAAGGGCTATCTGCGCTAAAATAAAGATAAAAACTTAACTTCATCTAGAAATGACCAAATAAAATAAATTAACGGACTCTTCAGTGGCTCAGCGATAGCTTAAAGACTTATAACGCAAAATTTGGGGTTCGTTTCCCTTATGCATATTTGCGTTGAACAGGAACAAAAGTGTATGAAAAACTTGGAAAATTTAGAATTTACATTTCAATGGTATACATCTTTATTTGATAAATATTGCTTATGTATTTTCCAAAGTTAATCTAACTTTCCATTCTTGAGTGATTTTAAATCAAGTGTGGAAAATGAACTGTAGGACGCTGCTGGGTATTTCATCACCAAATCCATCCAATACGTATGTGCTAACTCAGGCCAGAACTTCTGTATGTGGTCCCATTTCCAATAGTTTCTTGGTTCGTTGGTATTTGTGGCAGCTGGGCGAAGTGAAGTGGAAGCTTTACGTACAAAATCGCCTTTCTGTACCTTCTACCTTGTTCCCTACTTGGAATTGACAGGTTTTGGGCAAAGTTGAAATCAAGATTCAGAAAAGCGGAAACCCCCGCCATAGAGCATGTCAATATAAAGTCGGGAAATTACTAGTCTTTAGCACAGAGTTGTTTGGAGCTTGGTTTTGGTGGCGGCAAAACAACTCAGCTATAAATCCCCTTTAATAACCAAGTCCAGCAGTCCCCCGCTCCACCGAAACTGTATTTTCTAAATTACTGTGAGCTATATATCAAAATGGCATCTAATGAGGCTTAATATGATTGATGGATAGCCACTGGTCAGTTAGCTTGTCTTTATTCTGTTGGACACCACATTTTCTAGTTATTTTCTCTCATATACGAGTTTAACCATGGTCTTGAACGTGTCCAGTTTTGACACTACCGCCACATAATAGGTGACAGATGGCCTTAACCACAAGTTACGTAACGACCGGTCCAGAAAAACGTGGCCTTCCTCCTGGAGTGAATCACTGCATAATACTCAACTCTTCGTAACAGTGTGCGATAAGCAACACAAACTCGTAATTACCAGAGACATATAAAATACAGTATTGTTTTATTGTGTTATAAAAGTGTGCTTAATATAACGCATATTTTAGAATTTATAGTAACATATTTTAGAGTAACAAAAGCGTTTATTGTAATACGTGTGTAACGTATTTTAGAGTAACAGGTGTGTTTAAATTAAAACGTATTTTAGAGTGACAAGATTATTTAATGTAATACGTTTGTTTAATTTAATTCAGAGTAATACGTATTTCAGAGTAACACTTGTGTTTAATGTAACATGGGTATTTAAGGTATCACGTAGACGTAGCACGAGTTTTTAAAGCAACATCTGGGTTAGTTCCACAATATAAATACTGAATTGTTTATAACACCAGAAACATCTTACTCATTATCACATCATGTTTAATGTTTGTTCTGTAAACCTTTCTTGTAAGTAACGGAACAGGAAACAGTGTATCGTGTGCAACGTAAAAACATGTTGCTCATTATCACATCACGTTTAATGTTTGCTCTGAAAACCTGTCTTGCAAGTAACGGGACAGGAAACTGAGTTTCATTTCCAGCATCAAAATCATTGTACTATTTAAGTGATATGTCTACGCCAAACTTCCTGACAACTCATAGGTAGGCCTACGGAACATCCTAAGTAATTTAATAGGTGATGATAATCCACAAGCATGAATGCGTAGAATAGTGAAATAAAATGTATAAAGGTTTTTGTTGTACAAAACTTGAAAATAGCTTTTATATGTAAACAGCTGTTAGCTGAGTTCTTGCACAGATCCTAAAATATAACGTTGATAAATGGAAACATTCTTGTGGTTTTAAGATCTGCGCAAGAACTCGGCTAACAGATGTTTCCGTATATAAAAGCTATCTTCAAAATGTATAAAGATATCAGTAAAATATGAAGATGTTGATCACAGTTTGTGTTCAAATAGACTACAATACGTTCAACTGTGTTGTAGTTCAACACATTTTTTGATATGCTAATAATGTTGATAGTTTTACAGAAGACTAATAATTTTTGAAACTTTGCGGAGTACTCAAAACTTGCTGTAAACTAACGGTTTAGAGAAAGAACGTGGAACACAAAAGTTAGTCTAACAAAGCGAAACTTTTCAAGGTGAAGACATGTTTATGGATTTGCAGTATAACAGGACGTGTATGTAATTAACTACACTTTGATGATTGAAAACCATTTTTTTTAATTAGCCTGAAACGATTAAGGAGCAATTTGTAATTTAACAATATAAAGCGTAAAAAGATCTAAATTATAATACTTTGTAAACGCTACTCAAAAGCTATGTTTTTCGAAAATAATCATTGATGGATTGGAAAAATAGTGATAGAACATTATTAAGTTAGTTAAGTAATTGCAATACATTATTAAAATATCATTAACATGATTATTGAATGAATAGTAGCATTATTAAGTGATGTTGACTCATTTATTGATGTTAGAGTGACATGTTAGTGAAGATATAGTAATACTAATGTATTGGCAAACGGTAACTGAACAAAGTAACACATAACTGAAGTAAGAGTGACATAGTGAAATAATAGTGTAGGCATGTTATTGAAGAAAGTAATATTAAAAAATAGTGGCACATTGTTGAAGCTACAGCGACAGTCTAGTTACATGTTACAGTAGATTAATGTCTATTTGTCACTTACTGTATACATTTTGTAGTAGACTTATTTCTACCTGTCACAGACCTTACATGTTACAGTGGACTTATTTCTACCTGTCACAGGCCCTACATGTTACAGTGGACTAATGTCTATTTGTCACTTACAGTGTACATTCTGTAGTAGACTTATTTCTATCTGTCACTGATCCTACATGTTACAATGGATTAATGTCTATTTGTCACTTACTGTATACATTTTGTAGTAGATTTATTTCTACCTGTCACAGACCCTACATGTTACAGTGGACTTATTTCTACCTGTCACAGACCCTACATGTTACAGTGGATTAATGTATATTTGTCACTGACTGTATACATTTTGTAGTAGACTTATTTCTACCTGTCACAGACCCTACATGTTACAGTGGACTAATGTCTATTTGTCACTTACAGTGTACATTCTGTAGTAGACTTATTTCTATCTGTCACTGATCCTACACATGCTACATTAGACTTGGAGAAAACTTGTCATTAAACATAAAGTTCCTGTTGATTTCAAATTCACCCCAAAACCTGGTCCTAGACTAAAATCATGACTAAATAAAAGTTACATAGAATCACACAACACCTACGTCTCTTATAAAATAACGTACAATAACTTTCCAGGATTTTACGTAGAAGAAACCGGAGGAAAATTGAAAACCAGATTCACCGAACATTAGAAAAAACCCTCTCATGTTTACCACCATTGCAACTCAAAAAACCACAGTAT